TGGCGTTGTTTTTGAATAAGATCAAGCTGTATATGTACCAGGAGGGGAATGAGACCATGGCGGCGATGAGGGCCATTGGGCAGGGGTTTAAGGATCCGGTGTTGAGGATTTCGGCGCTGTTGGCGTTTTTTATTGGTGTGGAACAAGCGTTTATGTATACGGATTTTTCCAAGGTCAGTGATGTGATATTTTTTTAAATTTAGGATAAGGGATGGAAAATTGATGGAATTTAAATATTTAAAAAGTGGGTTTTATAGAGAGTTAAATAAGGTATATTTTGTAAAAATTTGAGGGTGTTTGAAAAAAGGATAACGGAGATACAGGACTTTAAAGTTTACTTTTGTTATAGGAATTTTTAAAAATTGAACATAAAATTTTCAAATTTCAAAGGAGGTTATTTGTAACCAAAAATTTAAAAATATTTAAATGGTATGTGATAAAGGATTAGTTAAACTATATATAACCAAAATTTTGTGTAAATGTATACAGGGGGTTCCGAGTTATAAGCTTTCAAAGTTACCATTAATTTTTTAGGTCAGTGGTGTGATATTGTTTAAATTTATGATACGGGCTTGAAAAATGATGAAATTTGAAATTTTAAAAAGGGGATTTTATAGAGGATTAACTTTGGTTTATTTTGTGAAAATTTGAAGGTGTTTGAAAAAAGGATATCGGAGTTACAGGACTTAAAAGTTTAGTTTTGTTATAATTTTAAAAAATTGAACATAAAATTTTCAAAACTCAAAGGAGGTTATTTGTAATCAAAATTTTTAAAATGTTTTAATTGGATCAGATTAAGGATTAGTTAAACTATATATAACCAAAATTTCATGTAGATATATACAGGGTCTTCCGAGTTATAAGCCTCCAAAGTTACCATTAGTTTTTTTAGGTACAATTTGACATAAATCTTTAAAACCTCTAAAAACTACACTTAAAATTTAAATTTTTAAATTTTGTAAAAACAATTTAAAAGACAGATAATCAAAATATATTATACCAAAATTACATCCTTCCAGCCCTTATATTTAAAGAGATATTTGATATCAAAGTTGCCACTAAATAATTAAAATTTTTAATTCCCTGAAACCTGTTTTATGATAAATTTATGCTTCCAGTTTTACGTCGTCTGCACCCTGGGCCTCCACCGCCTAAATTTGGTCTTCTTATCAATGGGTCTCCTTCAATCCATAGCCGCCTGCACCCTAAGTATGCTCTTACGGACGATACGGCGCTATTACGTCATTTGTAAGTAAAAAACAAAAAAATCACAAAAAATTCATCAATATTCTAACCTAACTTGCCCACTAGTCGTTGGTTTCGCCTTCCACGCATGTCTTCTCATGGTCCAACTCCTCTGGAAGCCATTGGGCGATGACCCCGCCCTGTTTTACGTCATCAGCGCCGCCTGGGGCGTCTGCAACGCCGTTTGGGAGATGATGAACTTCAGTAAGTCCCAAAACACACCCAAAATACTCAAAATAATAGTAAATAATTGTGGTTATGTTAGCATTGTTGACAAGCATCT